CCCCAAAACCCCAAAACCCCATGATAGCAAATTGCTTATTTCAGAATAATTCGTAATAATTCTTTAATAAATATGAAATATTCATACTTCTTTTTAATATGCAGTTTAAAATCATGAAGAATTCTTACAAATTTCACTTCTTATTATTATTTATTTCTTGGATAACTTCATTTTTCAATTTCTTCATAATACCTTATTAGAAATCAAGATTAAATGTTTCAAAACTTTGTCTTGACTAGCTTAAATTTAAATTAGTTTCTTATGAATTGTCAAAAGAATTATTCATCTATGCTAGATTGTAGCTCAAATTATCAAATAAATCTTAATTTTGCTTGGAAGTATGAAGTTATAGTTATTAGTTTTCTAGAGTTTAATTATACAATGATTGTTATCCCTTAAAATAATTTCTTTACATCATGACCATTGATCCTTCTTACTAAATTTTAAGTTCATAATTAGTTTCCTAACTCTGTAATTTTTTCAACATTTTCTTTTATAGAGTACTACTTTAGCTTAATTTTAATCTCTTTAATAATTATGTATATTTCTACCATATAATTGTAGTTATGTTTACCAGCAAAAAGGTAATTGTAAAAATGATTGGTAAATAGCCTAAATATACTTTCAACTGAAAATCTAAATTATAATGTCTCACAAACGGAATAAAACTGTATAAAATAGTCATGATGAAAATTTCATTTATCACTTCAAGCTAGTTCATTTACGAATTATTAAATGGTTGTAGCTCGATAATAATAATTGTACTGATCAATTCCAATTAACAAAGTAGTAAGATTTGGATGCCTTATAGTTCAGCAAATACTACAATAATAATGGAGTATAAAAGTCTTTTAATTAAACAGATAGCATGATAGTAGAGAGCTATACTGCCTTGTTTTATTTTAATCTTTTCAATTAAACATCCATATCGAGTTAAGAAACTAATTCCATTTAGTATTTCATTATGGATTCTTATCTAAAACATAGCAAAAGCAGGTAACCATATCATAAGAATCATTATTGATAACGCAAAAATTGAACCCCCGATTTGTCCTAAATTTCCAAAATTTAACTAAAGATAAAAATTAACCTCTAGATTTTAATTACCTAGAATATATTTACGATTGCACATATAGATAGCTCAATCGAGGATTCATATAAAAATCTTAGGATTGTATTATAGAGAATCACTTGCTATGATTTCTTGCTTAGCTTTTATACTCTATAGTTTTAAGAAATACAAAAGTTACATTCGATTTTAAAAGTTGAATTGGCTTAAAATGATACCAGATATAGTAATAAATATAATCAAAGCAAGAGCGTAAAACATCAGCCCAAGATTTAATATGATATTCTTTGAGCTGTAGTTCATTAGAGAATAAAATGAATTGTAAGGTTCATAATCTTCAAACTCATCAAATTCAAATACAGCGCTGTTAATATTATCTGTAGGTATGAGATTAAAGCTAGCAATATCATTTATAAAACCAAAGAAGTATAATGTATTCGATGGAATCATTATGGATATTAGAGGTAGATGAGTAATCAGTTAGAAACTATTTATCAGACCCCATAATAACTGCATCGATTGACTCCTTTTAGTTTAAAATAAGATAAGAATTACAAGAAAAGATTAAGTAGAATATTAGTACCAAAAACAGTACTCATTGTATACTGAATGGTTGCTCCAACCATATTGTTCAAATCATTCATATCTAAAATAATTTTGATTTATAATGTTTACCTGTTGTTATCTAAGGAGGAAGCAATGCTGAAATTTCATAGCTTTCTGGTATAATTAGTAGTTTGTTTATTGATAAAAAATTGTAGTCTTTTTTAAAAATTACTTTAATACTATCGAACTCCTGAGATTCGTTATAGAAATATAATAATTTTACTTGTCCTTAAGAAAATGGAGAAGGATCCATAGTAAACAAAATCTTTAAGATCAATGTTTGATCATAGAATTATTTAACTTAGTATCCTACTTTGATTTCCTTATCCATCGTGACTATCCTTAGCTAAGTTTAAAATCAAATTAAAAAATATTACCTCTAAAGAATCATTTAAATGTTTCTAAGAATTAGAATATAGAAGCATCTTATGGCTATATAGAATGTATACTTGACCAGTATTGGTTACTTTTTTTATTCAAGCTCATAAAAATCCTTTGGTTTCCCCTTTGATCTATTTTATTCTATTTACTTCAGTTATATTTAGAGTTTCGCTTGCTAAAACATTTACTTTCATTGTGTACTTATTCTAAACATCTGGGTTTAATGAGTCTTTGAGCTTGATAACTATTTCATACAAGCCAGAGAATCCAATTTAGGGTAGAAATTCAATTTAGCCTGATTAAAACTTACAAAATACTGTACTTTATCCGAAGTTTGTTTCAATAAAATAGTTACTACTGTCTCGTTTTACAATTTCAGGTAATTTATAGGATAATAACTATCCTTCAACTAAGGTTTAATCCTTTAATGGCTCTAAAAACATTGGAGCACTAGTATTGATTTTAAAAGCATCAGAAATAAGGAAAATCTAGAACTTGACTGTGAGATTAGCTTAATCTATATAATTTTTCTAATTTAGTTTTGCCTTTAAATTCAGATTATACACCTTCCCGCCTAATTCAGATTACGTGCATTTAATTACAATCATACTTTAATCTTAATCTAGATAAATACAGCTAGGTAGGTTTTCTCCGTTACTTAAAATCAGCCAATATTAAGGATTTACACATCCAATTGGCTCAAAGTTATGATGTTTAAATGTTTAATTAACAGGATCTGACCCAATCATAAAGAACATATCGGTTATATTAGGTTTTGAGGTATAATTTAAATGATTGTAGCAAAAGTCTACTTTTAAAATGAACGACTATTCTATAAAACTGTAGGTAAATCCATTTTATAAATTCAAGGATGCCTTAGTGATTATTTTATGATCGCCAATATATGTCTTTTTTTATGGATGAGTAGCTTTAGTTTCTTATAAAACTACATCGATAATAAATGTAGAGGTATCAATTTACTAAAGTCTAGTGATCTAGTCTAAATCTTCATTTTTATCTGAGATGTTAAAATCTATAAATCTCACATCAACGCAGCTAGGCATTGAGTAGTTTCCAATTTCAATGGAGCAAGGGCATCCTATATAGCAGATAGTAGTATTTTAAAAAGATTATCCTTATGTAAATTCAATTTTAGGATAACCTCCTATTAAACTACAGCTTCATCCATTATCAAATATTTACTGATGTAATCTAATGTCATTAATAGTCAGAAGGATTTACTAAGTACTATAATGAGTACTTTTCCAATTCACTCCAAATGCTTGCAAATCTTCATACTCTGAAATCAAATTTTTCATTATTTCTATAGGTTAATCTACATCAGTGATTTAAAAAACTAAATCATTGAATCCATAACAACCAAATTGTTTTAAAGATGGCTAACTTCTATAAATAACTCCATATGAACTGCCTGATATCTAATTGTAGTACCTTCCAATTAGATATAGGTATTAATATTATTGAAACTAACTAAGTACTTGATTCCAATATATTTTCTTCTAAGGATTATTTGAAGACTCATACCAAGCTACTAAAGCATCATTTGATTAATCAAAAAAGCCCTAATAATCCATTAGAATTACAAAAAGTTTATCCTCTCCATCAAATTCATTTATGTCTGAATATAAAGTCTATCTAATGTAAACATACAATCTTGCTTCCTCCATTTCCTATATTCATTACAAGAAACAACTTAACTTACTATTTCTAAACATTAATACTAGTAGTTGCCACTATTTGAATTCTTCATTATATATCTGCCACCTTGATTATGATTAACTGCATCATTAGTTTGAAAGACAAAATAACCTATAAAGTTTTAACTTGTTTTAGATTATAGACATCCTATATGCATGTTGTAAGATTCTACATACCTATCGATGTGAGGGTAAACATCTTATACATCTTCAGTGTATATAAATGCTCTATTAAACAATTATTGTCCACTTGATGCTTAAACTTTAACCAATGAAAAGGCTTAATAAATTTCATTTTCGAGATTTCCCGTAAAAACAATTATTGAACTTGAATCAGTCTTAAGAAAATAGAGTTGCCGAAATTTGTAAAAACTCATTGAGCTTTTCTAACTCCAAATGGTTGAGGAAAGATCTGGTTTTATTTTCAAGATGAAGACATTGTCTGAGTCATGATCAGTTGAAACTGTATAAAGATTTTATTGGCTATCTAAATCCATTTACTAAAAAAATGCTGCTTATTTTTTGCCAGCAATCAAGCTTTAACTTAGTATACTACCATCAAACGTACTAATTTTTACAAAAAGATGTCCATAATCATCACCTTTACTGTAACCTATTCTAGCAAAGAGTAGATCAGCAGTAGATATTCTAGTGAGTCCTTGTACATTATAGAGATCGTAATCTTCAGATTTTGTTTAAATCTTATTCATCCATGATATTCTTGTATAGCTATTTAAATCTTTATAGTAAAAGTAGCCTAGAATGGGACTTTAAGAGTCTTTACCTCCAAATAGGAAGCCTTAGTCATAGTGATCTGTAACAATTATAGAAATGTCATAATCATTTTGACCATCACCCACAAATATTGGGAATTGATCCTCGCCGAAGCAATTTTCAGATCTACTTTATGACTAAAAGATTGCAAATAGAATCATCTGATATACCAAATACCTCAAACAAATTAAGTTTGTTGAAATTTATAAAGTCTTTTTTAAGTCAGGATGGGATGTGTTTTAAGTCTTCATAACTAAATATTCTGATTGTATTAATATTAAGTTAAATTACAAAAAAGTTTTTGATTAGAAATTAAGCTCTTAATACTATATTTAAAACTTTATTTTTTATCCATATTATTTTTATTAATAATGCTAATGTGGGGTTTTGGGGTTTTGGGG